TGTGATATCGTTTCGGTCAATAGGACATACTGCCTGTTAATGTCGCATCATATTCAATGAACCTCACAAGGCAATTATGTCTAATTATACATAGCTTATAATTGGACTGAATATAAAGAGATGTGTAGTTTGTATTAAAACATTCCGGTATTTGCCAAAAACGGCGCATTTCACATTCCGACAAGATTATAAAATCAAAACGCAAAGTAATTTTGATAAACAATCATATTTTGAACCATTGTTCCGAATAAAAACAAACGTGTTCTCATTTTTTATAAGTCTTCTAAAATACTTTGAACACATTGACAATATGTTCAATTCTACGAAATGATAATTGTTTTCAAAATTGTTTAACACAGCACGGTATGAAGTACAGATGTACAGTAATAAAAAATGGAAAATGATGCGAATGCATAGAATGATGATACAATAAATTATCTTCTGCCGAACAGGCTAACTCAACAGAACAATCTCTCCAAAGTTGACGTCATACATGTTTACGCAAAATCATGCATTTTTGCTTAACATTTATACTAATATTCTAAACTAATGATAAATAAATTGATGCCTGTCTCACTTTATGAGATATTAAATGATCTTTTTAGGCTTTTGTTATTTCGGGGAATCCCTCTCTATCTCTCTCTCTCTGGAACACAGTAAAATGGCACCGTAAATATCATTTAATTTAGCTCATTTAGTATAATGTTGAAGTTGTAGATTTGCAAATCAACGACTGAAATGCAACCACACATTGACCAGGATCTACAATACACGCAAGCGTTACCAACAGTGTAACGACGTTTCTTCCGGAACAATATTGAACACAGGTCTTGACACCCGCTCTTTGTCCAGCCCTTGCGACTTTGTTGTCCTGCTTGGTCCTTAACTGGTGGTCCTCTGTAGCTTCGTATGCTCAGTGAACTCGCTCTATCTTTTAAGTCTTTCCTTTCATATTTTCTCTGAAACCAGGTTTAAAAGTTTGTTCTTATTATGGTCCCTGTAGAAAGAATTGTTGAGAAATGTTTCTGTTAATCGATATTGTATTGAAATGTTTAAATTCGAATATTGAGTTTGACACAAGTTACATCGTTTAATTGAAGCAAGTTCTTTGTTATATTCAACATACATATATCGTCAAATAATTTATCTCAAAATAAGATATGTTGGTATCGTTTAGAGACGTGACATAATCACCATCACGAAGGTTAATACAGTTTATTCTTCCTTTTCGGGATATCAATATTGTATAGAAATGTTTTCGAGACAAGCAACAAAAACTATGTTGGAACAGATGTTTCATTTCATATCTGTTGTTGATAATAATGTAATACACATCATGATACAAATGCGTCAGAAAGGTGTATTTGGAAAGCTTTGTCTACGAGTTATATAAACATATTAGAATGATTAGAAAATGCGGTCAATATGAATATATATATATATATATATATATATATATATATATATATATATATATATATATATATATATATATATATATATATATATATATATATATATATATATATATATAGATATATATATAACGAGAGAGAAAGTGTGTGTAAATGGAATGAAATTCCGTGGGTAAAAAGGCAATTCAACTATATTTTGTTTGTGTTTGTTAAAGGAACTCTTTAAATACATATGCCGAGTTTTTTTCTTCTGTCTCATCCCATTAAAAAAAATTTGGGAAAAATTTTTAAACCCGAATTTCTTTTTAAGTGAAATTTTCAAAAATTTGGGAAATTTTTTTCGTGTTTTTGTTTTAAATTTGGTTTTAAAAAAATCAACATTTATTGGGTTTTCATATTTGGGGCCGAATTTCGGGAACGTAATCTTAAAGTAAGACGTATGGCCTACCATTTTTTAAATTGATTTAAAAATATTGGGTTTTGGCCCTTTTTTCAAGTAGATAAAAAAAGCATTTTTAATTTTTAAAAAAAAGGCGTAATAATCTTAAATTATTCAAAAGAATTTTTTAAATAAAGGCATCAAAAGCCAAAAATAAACAAACCAAAATAATATACTTTACAATAACAGAACATATTGGTTCCCCAAAACCCCCGAAGGTTTTACCCGCGCCTTGAAAAATCAACCCCCCAAAAATATTTCCTGGTAAACCCCGGGAAATTTCCAGCTAATTTTTCCCTCATTAAATAAAAAGCCTTGAAATATTATCAGGATTATGGTATCTACATGTTTCTAAAATCAAATTTACTTAAAAAAAGTTAAAAAATTTAAATTTCCCTTTCTCGCCCCCCAAACCCACTTCATTTTTACTGACCCTGAAACCCCTAACGAAGGAATCTACATTTTTATATCCAGGTTTAAAAGTTGTGCCGAATTACGCAAAATATATACAACGTATTCGGGAGAAGTGTGAAATCCTGTTTTCATTTTGAAACATGCAAACAATGCTTATTATCTGTGTGCTCATAAACTGATTTTTCTCACATTATGATTTCAATTTCAATATATCAAGACAAAAACAATTTTATCCTACATTGTTTGTTAAAAATAATATACTTTTCTCTTAGATCTTGGTAACGGGTCCTTTAACTTTGTATGTAGGAAGATAATGATAAACTGAATTTGAATCTTTCCGCAAGAAAGGTTATTTAGTTATATTACATACATGAATTTTGTATTTACTTCAAATGAAATAAAACATTTTTTCTAAAAATAAAAAAGACGCCAGCGGATGTCCGTCTACTATACGTAAGTTATCGCGGGTTATAACGTTGTTTGAGTTAAATAGCAATGCATCAATAAAAATTCAAGTGCTGAAAAAAACTAAACATGATGCCAATACATATTAAACACATTAAATATTAAACTGACATTATGCTCAATTTTTCATTGTCAAGTTAAGCTGAATTGACTATATATTTCAAAAAATATAAAAATAAATCTAGGATAAAATATAAATCTGCCTAAAATATAAAAAGTCTGGCCCAATATTTTTATAAATTGATCCTTGCAGGCAATTTCCCATGGATATTTATAGAAAAGTCCTTGGGACTCGTGAGTTATCTATAGTATAGTTCGTGCGAAGTAAGTTATAATATTGAAAAGAATCGTGGCAAACTGTTAACAAATTTAATTTTCACATATTCACTCACTATATAACCTAGGGTGGGCATAATGTTACGTAAATATATGATAATATAATATTAAAAATTTTCTCAAAAAGGGATTTATCGTGCGTGTGTCGCCTTATCACAATATGTGTACAATTATATCCCCAAGGATAAAGTTGTTATACCAAAATCGTGACAATTAATATTCTGATCTTGTGCTTATGTTAGATGAGATCAATTTTATTTATACAGTATTATATATATGTAGACCACACGGACAGAACAGAAGGTTCAATAACATTACATTAAATTACTCTATCGTCAAAAAAGAACCACATGTCCGTAATCAGAGAGACAACATCTAAATATTCGATCACACTAACCATTTGGAATTATGCACCCGATTTCTCCAGTACTTTTACCAGATTAAAGCTGCTACAAAATGACAAATGCGGGTAAAGATAAAAGCGTTGTATGAACATTTATATAAAATATTTATCAGTTCAGTATAAAGTATGATTATGAATCAAATCTGCACATTTGACGTAAAGAATTGTTAAAATATATAAATGTTTAATAAATGATATGTAGCGCAAGATCAGTTCCTGTCCTTTCACAATATTTGATTTTAGATGTATTTCAATCTATCAAATGTCAATGGCATTATTGTTCTAGTCCCTTGTGCAAAGCTAAGTAGTAAGATTTTGCTTTGGTATATTTGTAATTTATTATTCTGAATAACGTGACAAGTAACTTAAACCATTTATTTTCTATTTCTCAGAATACTTATACATGTTTCAATTAACAATATACAAATGTACAAAAAGCATTTCAAATACTCTTTAAAAAATAATTAGAATGAAAGACAGACATGAAAAGTGATATTGTATCAATTACAAGAATATACCAAAATAATTTCTATTGCATCCTTTACATCTGAAACACAAGATTGCTTTTTATCTTTTAATCCCATTTCATGGCTATTTTTACGTCTCTTGTCCGTCTTTCATTCATATATCTGTTAAGTCGAACATCTGCTGCGAATTATGTTTGTAGTTCTATCGTTCTTCTTATAATCTTTGATCCCGATTCAAAATCCCATTTCATTTAATTTAATTTAGCCCATTGTTTTTCATTCAGGGCTCACTCATTTTTATTTCAGGACCATATGCCGCTTTTCGTGGAATGGCACTAACGTTCCATGATAAGCGCCGCAGAATGTTTCTATAGACTAAGTGATAATTTTACCATTTCATGTTATACGTTGAATTCTGCTAAAATCGGTGCTAGGGGCGTGGACGGAAGATTGCAGTTTCCATTACCGTCTCTGAGCAGGCTCAATCAAAACGAGCCTGCAATATTTTCAATTTTTCAGTTTTATACGTTCTGTAGAGATTCTTTTTCTATCTATTCTATCATCTGTTTTATGAAACATCAATGTTATGCCTAGACGGTATATTTTGGTTCGATATATGTTAAATACTCATCTCTTGTATGTCCATGGAAAAGATATTGAATTATTGAATACATTGTAATTATTAAATAAATATAATTATGTTTCATAGAGTATATAAATTGATTAGATGTGGAATGAAGATGTTAGTTCCAAAACCTAATATGTATAATAAAACGTTTTTACAATTGACCGGTCATAGTGTTTTGTGTTCCATTTAGAAAGATTGAAAAATGTTTTTGTTACAACTAAACTTACTGCACGTTTAGCCTTATTTTTTATTTTCATTTTTTTAACAGTAAACACTAAATAAAATATGATAATGTGTTATACGCACTATAAAAGTTTAGTTCATGCATCTCTTTTGAGCGATCATAAATATAGTATAAATGCAATATCAACTCCTGTATCTTAACAAAATATGCTTCTAGCTATGTAGTGGTTGAGAAAACATCATCTATGTTTTTATATTTTGATAAAACGGTAAAACAGAAATGCCTAACCCACTTACAGCATTTGATTTCAAACAGTAACGAGAAATGAGTAATAAATTAGTTTAGCATGTGTAATTACCACAGGTAAAGGATTGGTTAAGCTATTAGGTAAGTGTGTAATACTCTATCTTTTCAGAAATTTTGTAAGTGAATATTTATGTTTCTTAATTAGATTTGATTTTTGTTTCAATATTTCATGATAATTCTCTTCTTTAACATAGTCGATAGTTATTTTGGATTCATGGGTATTTTATAGTTTAAAACGACACCAAATTGTTATCTCCTGTACAAAACGTGCAATGATACTTTAAAAGAAAGTTGTTTGCATCATTCATTATCAATTTGAGGCAAAATGTTTGTAATTTATAAGCATAAACAGAATATATAATAAAAATTGATATGACTTCATCCGCAGAATAATATTATATTTCGTCTAGTACCTTGAATATTAATAAAAGTGCCAACAATACTGAATGTTATTGTATAATACACAATGACCTACACCCTACACCCAGTATTATAAGATAGCATCATTCGCGTAGTATATTTGTAGCTTTAACTTTCGGAACATACTGTTTTGAGATTTGCGAGCAAATCATGCCGAGATAACGTTCAAATTGTTTATTTGAGTGGTAAAACACCGTTCAAAGCGAAAATGTCATAATATGCCTTATATAGCTATTATTGCATTATCTTCGGCAAAATTACTGCACCAAATGCTGTAATATAGCTTTACAAGACAAGTTGTACATTGTATATGCAAAACATATATCCGCCCTACGTCAATATGACCTATAAAATCAGTCCAGTTGAGTCACTGTGCTAATAATCAAGTCTGATAAAGCCTCCTTGCATCCATATCTGCGGTATATCTAAAGGAATATGTGAATATTCAATGAAATGTGTTTGTTATCTTTTTTGTGCCATTGAATCAGTTAAAAGGGGAATTCCCTCGCACGATTTATGATAAAATAAGTGCAAATACATGTTTTAAAGTAAGTTCTTTAGTTATGTTCATGATAAAGTGTGAAAAGTGAAAAATTAGTAACGGCTTGAGAGTATAAAATTTTCAACGCCTAACAGTTAAACTGCTATTTTGTGAGCTTCAAATTGTTTTGTATTAGCGCTAAAATATCGTTTATGCATGTTTTCACCAATATTTACAAAATTAATTTGTATACTAAAGTTTTATGGACACAAATATCTGATTTTCGATTCCTATAATAATGTATGTCTAACGAGTTCTCTTGGTTTATGAAATGCTTACCTTTCTAACGTTTTAGAATGATAGATAAAACAGCTGTTAAGATATAGGAATGAAAAAAATAAATAATAACATTGATAACGATTATGATATTTTATTGTTTATTTGGTCACATTGAATGCAAATGCAAAGTATAAGGTATATTTTCCATTAAGTTGCTGTATCAACATTTGTATGAAATAGTGGGTGGGGTACATTATTTACCCCGTCAAAAAGTAAACAAATTCTTAAACAGCATGAAAAATACCCACAGTAGGGCAATCACACATTATATTAGCGAGTTCAAATAAACAGTGAAGAATTAAAGCCTTTAACAGTAATACTATAGGCCTATAGGCGTTGTAAAAGGCTTTTTTGCATTATTATTTCTCTCAGAAATCGGGATTTGGGACCTTAAATCAATGTCATTTTTTCAAAAAAATGGCACGTGCGATTTTTTTCACATCATCGTTCAAATGTTAGAAGTACTTGTTACAGAAGTTTTGTTTCTGTTGCTGATAGTTTAACCCTTTATGGAGTTTTTTCGGAGTTTGATCAGCCTAACTTTACTTATCTACTTTATGGGAGACACAGATGATAAATACGCCGCTGGCTTTTTGTTCCAGAGCAATTGAATTTTTGAACAGCGCTTATTATTATTATTTATTTATTTATTTATTTATTTGTTTATTTATTTATTTATTATTTATTTATTTATTTATTTATTTATTTATTTATTTATTTATTTATATAAACTCTGAGAGCACAAACAAACCAAGTCGTACTTATAACATATACATACTAATTGTCTCTGGGAATAAAATTGCTCTGCTATATAGAAGCAATCGTTCCAACGTCATATTTACATGATAGCGGCCTGAAATGAGACTGGGATATTTGCAAAATCAACCTTTTGTCCACCTTCGTTAGTGTTTGTACACAAAGGAACATTGATCATTTTGTAAGGGCCATGTTTTGTCTAGAAGAATTGCCACACTACGTGTTCGATACTGATGTCAGGCAAATATTTCTCAAAACTTTTTAAGACATATAAAAAAAGTTTTAGCGTTACTAGTATTCCGCAAAAGCATTGAAGTGCACAAAATGTTCCTATAGCATTATGGCAAAAATGTCCCAAACATACTCTAATTTATATTAAAATTTGGTGCAATCTCATTGGTCAACAGAACAAATGATAAACCATAAAAACAAGATGCAGTATAATATTTATATACATGTTTATCTTTTGGCTGGATTGGTTTTTCCAAATCTAAAAATAGATTGAAACTCATGTTCTATAAAAATACAACATGTACTTTTTACTTCGTATTCATTTGGTGTTGTATAATATTCACAGCCTGAATTGTCTTTTCAAAATCATTTTCAAAATGAGACTTATGTTTGATTATCATTCAGCATTGACCATAAAGTACACGTGAACATAAAAAACTGATCGTCGCATTGTGTTCTTTTTTGGCATATATTTCGATTTAAATATCAATGATTCACTATTTAAGTATAAAATTTCACCGCTATGATGGCATCTATACCCAACTTTACTTGACGCATGTTTTTACTTACGTCTTTTCATCGCGCTTCATTGAACAGCCGAAAGTTCCTGTTTTAATTTCCCTTTTAAGGCTTTACTTTTAATTTTTCCAAATAATCTTAGGCTATTCATAGAATTAAACAATTATTGACTTGTAAGCCATTAAATATGATGTGATATCGCGTCGGTCAATAGGACATACTGCCTGTTAATATCGCATCATATTCAATGCCTCACAAGGCAATTATGTCTAATTATACATAGCTTATAATTGGACTGAATATAAAGAGATGTGTTAGTTTGTATTAAAACATTCCGGTATTTGCCAAAAACGGCGCATTTCACATTCCGACAAGATTATAAATCAAAACGCAAAGTAATTTTGATAAACAATCATATTTTGAACATTGTTCCGAATAAAACAAACGTGTTCTCATTTTTATAAGTCTTCTAAAATACTTTGAACACATTGACAATATGTTCAATTCTACGAAATGATAATTGTTTTCAAAATTGTTATAACACAGCACGGTATGAAGTTCAGATGTACAGTAATATGGAAAATGATGCGAATGCATAGAATGATGATACAATAAATTATCTTCTGCCGAACAGGCTAACTCAACAGAGCAATCTCTCCAAAGTTGACGTCATACATGTTTACGCAAAATCATGCATTTTTGCTTAACATTTATGCTAATATTCTAAACTAATGATAAATAAATTGATTCCTGTCTCACTTTACGATATATTAAATGATCTTTTCAGGCTTTTGTTATTCCGGGGAATGCCTCTCTATCTCTCTATCTCTCTCTCTGGAACACAGTAAAATGGCACCGTAAATATCATTTAATTTAGCTCATTTAGTATAATGTTGAAGTTATGGATCTGCAAATCAACGACTTTAATGCAACCACACATTGACCAGGATCTACAATACACGCAAGCGTTACCAACAGTGTAAAGACGTTTCTTCCGGAACAATATTGAACACAGGTCTTGACACCCGCTCTTTGTCCAGCCCTTGCGACTTTGTTGTCCTGCTTGGTCCTTAACTTGGCTTGGCTCGTCTGTTATCTTCCGTTATCTTCTCACTATAATTTTCCGCTTCAAATCTCTTTAAGTCTTTTCTTCTCTTTTATCTATCTTCTCTCTTAATCACACAGTTAAAAATGTTTGTCCTTATTATGGTTACTGTAGAAAGAATTGTTGAGAAATGTTAACAAAAACTTGATTGAAATCGTTTCTGTTAATCGATATTGTATTGGAATGTTTAAATTCGAATATTTAGTTTGACACAAGTTACATCGCTTGATTGAAGCATGTTCTTTGTTATATTCAGGATGTAAATAATTCTACATGCAATAAGTTATAGTCGGTATAAATTGTCAAATAATTTATCTCAAAATAAGATGTGTTGGTATCGTTTAGAGACGTGACATAATCACCATCACGAAAGTTAATACAGTTGATTCTTCCTTTTTCGGGATATCAATGTTGTATGGAAATGTTCTTCGAGACAAGCAACAAAAACTATGTACTTCTTCCTTAATTCACACACTTCTGAGCAGCGACAAAACAACTGGTGGAACAGATGTTTCATTTCATACCTGTTGTTGATAATAATGTAATACACATCATGATACAAATGCGTCAGGAAAGTGTATTTGGAAAGCTTTGTCTACGAGTTATATAAACATATTAGAATGATTAGAAAATGCGGTCAATATGAATATATATATAGATAGAGTGTAAATGGTATGAAATAACAATGGTATTATTCCGTGGGTAAAAAGAGCAATTCAACTATATTTTGTTTGTGTTTGTTAAAGGAACTCTTTAAATACTTATGTCGATTTTTTTTCTTCTGTCCCAACCAATTATAATGTGCAAGGTTTATGACAATAAGTTCTTATTAGGTGAACTTTGTCACATTGAACTTTATTTGTGTTTTTGTTTGTATGTGGTTTAAAAAATTTCAACATTGTATTGGTTGTCATATTTGGTGCCGAATTTCGCAACGATAATCTTAATGTAAGAAGTATGCTACCATTAGTACTTGGATTTAAAAGTATTGTTTTGTGCCTTCATTCAAGCAGAAAAAAAACATTCGCATTTGTACTTACAACGATAATGCTGTATGATAATCTTTCACTTTTAAGCCCATCACCGACATTAATGTTGTATATATAATGCGATTATATTATATCTTGGTCAAGCTGTAATGATAATAGATTTATGGAAATGGTGAACGAGATAAATGAAACATCAATAAGAGTGATAAAGGACATTATTTTAATGGAAAAGCACGGTGGT